TGAAGCTCATAAAGTACGAAATTAACATCCGAATCCATTCAGACTTGGTACATCCCAATTTTTATATTATCACAAGATATGTTATAAAAGTGGTAGAGATCGGACCATTCCTTCTGGTACCTCCCCCACAAAGGGTCAAAGTTTTGAATAGCCAAAACGAGTATAATATCCGAAATTTGTATCCGGTTTTATTCATATATCACACATCACAATATTTTTATTAAGCCTAGGTCTGGTGTAATGATGAAATATATCGGTACACCCCTTCTGGTACCTCCCCCACAAAGGGATACAATTTTGAATATTCATGAAGCTCGTAAAACTCGAAATTAAAATCAAATTCCATTCAGACAAGGTACAACTCAATATCTCTATTAAGACAAGATCTATTATAAAGATGGTAGAGATTGGGCCATTCCTTCTGTTACCTCCACACAAAGGGTCAACGTTTTGAATACTCAAAACGATTATAATATTCGAAATAAGCATCCGATTCTCTTTTACACATTTTTCACATATCTGATTATTTCTTTTAACACAAGATTTGCTTTAAAAATGGAATATATCGGATCACTCCTTCTGGTACCTCCCCCACAAAGGGTTAACATTTTGAACATCTATGAAGCTGATAAAACTCGAAATTAACATCTAATTCCACTTAGACTTGGTACATGTCAATATTTCCATCAACACAAGATTTGTTACAAAGATGGCAGAGATCGGACCATTTCTTTTGTCACCTTCCCCACAAAGGGTTCAAAATTTTTGAAAAACAAAACGGTCAAAGATAGCGTAATAAGCATCCAACTCTCTTTAAATTTCACACATCCAAATATTTTTGCTAATACAAGATCTGTTGTGAAGATGATATATATCTGCCAACTAAATATCTAAATATTTCTCTCAACCAAAACCCTGAGATAAATATGGAATTTAAGATTTCACATAAAATTGGATATAAGTGTTTGATTTTCTTATAATTTTACCCATATTAATATTTTTTTTAGAAGAAGTATGAAAGCAAATGTCTCCGCAAAGAATGGGTTAATATTTAGTTTTTTTACAACCAGAGATTTTGTGATCAAAGAATGAAAATGCTTCTTAAACACCATAAATCGCCATATAATTCCTGCAACACCAGTTTCCCATTTTCCCAAATCCACCCTGCAATTAAAATTGTATCAATTCAATTTAATCCTGTGGCACATGTAATTAATATCCCACACTCCGTATAAGCATATCGCAGACATGTTAAGCCACGGCAAGCATATGCATGGCAAAACAGGCACCAAGTATTTATGTGTGTGTATGTGTGTGTGTCAAATTGAAATTCCTGACATAAATGCTTTAAATTGGCCATAAATCTTTCTTGCTTTCATTACGTTGTTAAAATATTTAATTTTCACCCCCCAGCCAACAACAGCGAAGAAGCAAAAAAAAAAATAAAACAACAACAACAACAAAATCAGCAATTGTGACAACATAATAACCCCAGCAATATGAAACCATAAATGAAGCGGGCCAATAAAATTGACACCTGTTCCGTGTGTTGTTGTTCGCGGTTTTTTTTTTTTGGCAAACTGTGCTCAATGTTATGTGTGTGTTGACAATTGTTGTAACCGTGAAACACAACCAAAACAACAGCAACCCGTTGTTTTGACTTCCAACTTTGCAAATGACTGGGTGGCGTATGACGTATGGCATACGACGTGTTACACCTTCAATGTTATGAAACAAAAGGGAAAAAAGAAGAGAAAGAGACTCCTTTTATGACAGCAAGCAATTTGAAGAGCAAAGAACGTAGGTGTGTGTGTGTCTGACAATGAGTGGGAGATAAATAATGATGTGAGTAGGTGCATGTCTGTCTATCTTCCAATGTTTTTGTTTCAAGAACTCTTCTCTCATGGCATGGAGTCCTATTTTCTTCTGGCCCTTTAACTCAGAAAAAACATTAATTCGTTGCATACATTATAGCTTGGTAATGGTGTGTGTCTTATTATCTGTAGGTATGGTGGTTGTGTGTGTGTGTGTGTCTGTGATATTATTTAAATTCTAATCTCTGCTTGTTCAGGATGTTCTTTTGGTTTGGTAGTTGGCATCCAAAATGTTGTAGTTGTTTTTATTGTTGGATTCTGCACAATCAGAAACAGAAGCATAATGCATGTATGCTCATGTAGATATGTGGCATGTTTTGTATTGTTGTTGTTGTTTTTGCTACTGTAGCAATGATAAGTCACAGACTCTTGTTGTAGACCAACTGCAACAAAACGCAGAATGGTATTGTGTGTGAAATTGTGTGTGGCAGCAGGGTTTTTCTGCCTTCTGTTCATTGTTCAGATGAGGCAGTGAATTCTCCAGTCATAATAAATAGTTTGCTGTCTGTTTCAGTTATAATAGAATGTGTTTCCTTTTTTGTTGCGGGAATGAACTTTAGGTTCATAAAATGCTGGGCAGTAGTTAACCTATATAGGTTTATTGGTGGCAAGTTAAAGTGACCTAAGTACAGTTTTTTAAAGAGAAGAAATCGATAGATTTGTGGGGAATCCCCATACACTTTTTTATCTTCAAGTTTTATGAAAAAATCTGCAAACTTCTAGATTATACAGGAATATTCTCTTTAGAATTTTCCAAAATGTTGGACGTCTGTAAAGAAGGTATCGGGAGGAGTAACCATTTTTACCCTTCATCCACATGATTTTCAAAATGTACCGAGATTAGACTAGATCGAGTACTCGGTTTTCTTTTGCTTGAGATTTTTTTTGGAGAAGTTTGATCGTTTATAGGTTGGGTTAAAAAGGAGTGTCCATGATATTGTCCATCTTCGTGGAGAATTAGTTCCAAATTGTATACTTTTTTCGAGAGCTACCCTAAACATGGGTTACTACATCAATTCGAAATGTTCTGAAACGGATTTCTTCCAAAGAGACATAGGGTCGAAAATCATTACTTCAATGAGGTTCATTTTTTATACCCTCAACCATATGTATCATTTGACACGGCCAAAACGTACCTCATCGAAATAACGGTTTTAGACCCTAGGTCTCTTTGTACCAAATTCGGTTTAGGACATTTGGAGTCGATCTAGCGATGCCCATCCGTCCGTCCGTCTGTCTGTCCGGCTGGTTGGCGGGATAACTCTCGAAAGGAGTATCCTATTTGGTCCAAACTTGGTACATCTTTACATTATTATCAAACTTAGATCGGGTTCGGAGATGGATAATATTAGACCACTCCTTCTGGTAACTCCCCTACAAAAAGTCGACATTTTCAAAAAAATATTTTACTGCACAGAAAGGGAAAGAATAATCCGATTTTGTTCTTACTTTAATATTTTTTATCAGTGCGCCAGGTGCGAAAATTGACAATATTGGTCCACTCCAATACCAATACCAATCCAAGTACCTCCCCCACAAAGGGTCAAAATTTTGAAAAACTATAACTCTAATAAAATGTTATGTAAGATTCCGACTGTCATCAAATTACACACATCAAAATATTTTTCTTAACACAAGGTCTGGCGTGAAGATGGGATATATTGGTCTACTCCTTCTGGTACCTCCCCCACAAAGAGTAAAAAATTTGAATATCCGTGAAGATCATAATACGCGAAATTAACATCCGATTCCATTCTGACTTGATAAATCTCAATATTTCTACCAACACAAGATCTGTTATAAATATGGTGGAAATTGGACCATTTCTTCTGGTACACACCCCACCTAGGGTTCAAGATTTCGAATAACCAAAACGATTATAAAATCCGATGTGAGCATCCGGTTCTCTTCATATTTCACACATCCCATTATTTCTACTAACACATGATCTGCTGTGAAGATATATCGGTTCACTCCTTCTGGTACCTATCCCACAGAAGGTCAAAATTTTGAATATCCAAGGAACTCTTACGCGGTATTAACATCCGATCCCTTTCAGACTTTGTACATCTCAATATTACCATCAACACAAGATCTGTTATAAAGATGGTGGAGATCGGATCATTTCTTCGGGTACCGCCCCCACAAAGGGTCAAAGTTTTTAATATCCAAAACGATTATAACATCCGGAGTGAGCATCCGGTTTTTTATCTTTTACACATCGCAATATATTTATTAGCCCAAGGTCTGATGTGAAGATGGGATATATCGGTCCACTCATTCTGGTACCTCCCCTACAAAGGGTCAACATTTTGATTATCCATGAAGCTAACAAAACCCTAAAATAACGTTCGATTCCATTCAGACTTGATCCATCTCAATATTTCCATCAACAAAAGATCTGTTATAAAGATGGTGAAGATCGGACCATTTCTTCTGGTACCTCCACAACTTAGGGTACAAAGTGCTTAAAATAATCGAACATTGGCTGAGGGTAAACATCTGTCGCCAAAACCTACTGCTACCTTTCAACTTGTTAATATTCCAAAAAATTCTAAGCTCCCCATTTTGGGTAGAAAACGGCACTATGAACTTGTGAATTAAATATTTTTCTAGGGAAGTGTTTCTAATTAGACCAATAAAAAAATTAGACAAAAAACATAAACATAGCTCCATATCCTAAACCCTATATTTGAATATCATTAAATATGTTGTCACACACATCCATTTTGAAGTTCACTCTGCAATTGTTGCTAGTGTTGATGATGATGATGATGACGATGTCTATCATTCCGTCTGTTTCCGACTCTGTTGATGACTTCTGCTTTTAGCATAAGTACCACTTCGCACAAACATAACCTTAAATACTTCTACAAATATGGATATGTGTCGAGTAGATCTGCCAAAGGATGTTGAGATTTTTTTTGCACTAACAAGCTGTCCGACCGACTTCCACACTGATAGACAAGATGACAACATTTTAAGTATTTTCTTTCCGCCTCTGAATGTGGCAATTTAATGCAGTAAATCTTCAACAACTAACAACCATAAACAAGTACATTTACATCCATACACATGAGCGATTTTATAAGCTTCTATTTTCTTTTCTATTCTTTTGCAGAAAATAAATCTAAGAACTGTTTTGGGAGGCAAACTGTCTGCAACAGCAACCATTTGAAACGTAGACCAAACAAACCTTTAGGAAACCACAAATCTTATCAGGCAATTTCAAAAAGTACTTAAGTGCGGACAAGCGAGAGAGAGAGAGAGAGAGAGAGAGAGAGGGGGGGAGAAAGAAAACCATTCACACACACACGTTTAGATGTATGTACACGCAACATGAAATGTTATTTTAAAACTAATGAAGCATAAACCATTCAAAGATTAGGATAAACATTCAGAGATTTATTGGTGGACCGCAAGAAAAGATATTAGTGGCCGATTAAAACGCACACACCCACTCTCGCCAACCAACTCCCCCTCCTTTCATTCCGCAAAAGCCAAAAGAGCAACAATTCGTTACAACAAACATCAACACAAACTATGAAGCGGAAAAAAGACTCGCTGGAGAAGCGTTTGGAAATCAACATTTTGTGTAAAAAGCGAATTCGTTACATGCTTTGGCTGGATGGCCAATGAGTGCGGCGAAGGTGTAACTCGAGAGCAATAAAGAAAGGAATCCCAGAACCACTACTAACTTGGCTGCAAACATATATATCACGTCCCCCTCTTTGGCTGGGAAATAATTGGAAACCTTTAATGCACAGCAGCTGTGCAAATTATTTCCTAATTTCTTGGAAGCGAAACTAAGACGATATCCAACCCTCCTCATCTGCTACTGAACACAAAACTATTAACGCGCATTTCCCCCCACCCCCTCGGGCAAACATCAATCTTGTTCCAGTCGTGCAGCACGTAATGAAGACACTCTTACGCTCATTAGCGTTGTTATATTCATCGTCGTCCTCCTCGTCGTTGTCGCCGTCTTTCACGTCCACGTTCTCGCCAGCATCGTCATCGCCATTCGCTGTTAATAAATTCTTGATTCTTGTTGCATTTTTAATTTTCTACTCCACATCCGGTGGCCAACGTTTGGTGGGGGCAGAAACTTTTACTTTGGGCTATTTAACGGGTTCCCAGAGAACGCCGGGAAATTTGGATTACCAAAGACCAGGTAGGCAACCACAAAAGACCACAAGAAGATTATTTCATTTCTCCTTTGCCAGGCATTACCATCTCCGGAGCCATTAGCCTGGCGGTCAAAGAAGTCAATGAGGGCGAATTGAAATCGTTGGGCCATGAATTGGATTTCTTAGTAGCCGAAACGTATGGCGATGAGGTCAACAGTATACGCCAAACAGCAGCCTTGTGGACCAAACAAATAGTTGGCTACATTGGACCCCAGGAGACCTGTGTCCATGAGGGCCGCATGGCCGCTGCCTTCAATTTACCCATGATATCTTATGTGAGATTTTGGAGGGCATTGTTTTGCGAATTCTTTCAATATCTTCTCATTCCATTTTAGTATTGCACACACCGTGACACCTCCAATAAACATGATTTTCCCACATTTGCCCGTACCCGTCCACCGGACACACAAATCTCCAAGTCGGTTGTGTCACTTTTGATGGCTTTTAACTGGACCCAGGTAAGGTTGGAGAGATTAAAAATTATGTCTTAGCATAAGAAAATAGTAGATGACATAAATCTCTGGAGTAGAGGATGGATGGCTGTTGAAGGAAAACCAAACGTAAAATACACTGGGAAAAAATATTTCTTAAAAAATAAACCTAAGATCTAAGCTAAAAATCAAACAAAATCATAATTTTTGTATCAGTGATATGTCAGGTGGGAAAATGGTCCACTATATTTAGTACCTGCCCCACAAAGGGTCTAAATTCGGAATAATTATAACTCTTATAAAATGTGATGTAAAAGTCCGATTTTCTTCAAATTACACACACATCACAATATTTTTATTAACTCAAGGTCTGGACCACTCCTACTGGTACCTCTCCCACAAAGGGTCAAAATATTGAATATCTATGAAGGGCGTAAAACGCGAAATTCACAGCCGATTCCATTCAGACTTGGTACATGTAAATATTTCCATCAACACTCGATATGTTATAAATATGGGAGGGACCGGATCATTTGTTCTGGTACCTCCCCCACAAAGGGTCAAAGTTTTTAATAACCAAAACTTTCATAAAATCCGAAATAAGCATCCGTTTTTCTTCATATTTTACACATCCCATTATTTCTACTAACATAAGATCTGCTGTGATGATATATCGGACCACTCTATCTGGTACCTCTCCCACAAAGGGTCAAATTTTGAATATCAATGACGCTCATAAAACGCTAGATTAACGTCCGATTCCATTCAGACATGGTACATCTCAATATTCTCATCAACACAGGGTCTGTTATAAAGAATGTAGAGATCGGACCTTTTCTTCTGGTACCTCCTCCACATAGGGTTCAAGATTTCAATATTTTGTGTTGATATATCTGCGAACCCCTTTTTGGTACCTCACCCACAAAGGCTCCCAATTTTCAATTTCTCTCAACCAGAATCCTGAGATGAATATGGAAAATATGATTTGGCATAAAATTGAATATAAATGTTCGATTTTCTTGTACCCATACCAATATTCTTATCTGTATTAAATGAAGTATGAAATAGTCGGTCGACTATTTCTGGTACCTCACACACATTTTAACATTTTCTAGAAATGTGACATATATAGCCACAACCTGGCACGTCGTAATATTTATATCATATTTAATTATACCCGATACGAAATGAACAATATTGGCCCATTCCTTCGGCACCCATTCCGTAGAGGGTCATCAATTTGAATAATCGTTACAGAAGTCAAAATATATTTAAATAATCGAACATTGGCTGAGGGTATGGATCTGTTGGCAAAACGGACGAATGTTATCAGGAGAAATATATTAAAAAAGTAAACTGAGGTTCTCCGATTTTTTCTCTGTCTCTTCCTCCCCGTTTAGCCTCTGCATCAATTCTGAATTTCCTTCAGTGCATCCTCTCCTGGCACCAGCATTTCTTCACACATTTCAAACAAATAACGTTGATTCACATTATTCCCGCTCTCTTCCTCTCTCTCCACACACATACACACACACTCCCTCTTCGTCACAATTTATCACTTCATTCAGTTTAATATTAATTTTTTTTATCTTTTAAACTTGTTTTTCTTTTTCTCTTTCCTTTTACATGCCATCTGTTTGCTTTTAACGGCTTTGTCGCATCTTCCACTTGGACACTGGATGGTCGTCTGGAACGGCGTGTGTAGGTAACTTTTTTGTATCTTGACCATCCGGATAGTTTGTATCAACCTGTGGCCGATACCATCTTGAGTATTTTAAAGAGTGCTGCCATTACTGTACGTGACGTCAGGACATGGAAGACCATCTATCATCATGGTTTTATGGCAAATCCTTTTGTGGACTTGGTCGAGCAGACTTATACAAATACGCGCAGTAAGTATGTACTAAAGTAACTGTAAATGGAATTAACAATTAGACCGGTTTCTTTGCCTCCCCCTCCCCCTTAAAGTGGAGAAGATTGCAAGGATTAAAAGGGAATAAAAGGCATTTTGTTTTAAAGGATATTTTAATTAGAATACTTTTCGTTTTTCGAAAAATTTCTTATCAAATCTCCCCGATATGGAACAATTAACAAAGTTCAGCACTCATCGCATAGATGTTGAGGACGTCTTATTTAGAAAGGATGTCATAAATCTCAAGGGGGGGTTAGAGGTTGGTGTGAGTGTCTCGTAGAAGAAACAAAAAACCCACCCTTAAGTCATTGACTAAAAGGTGTTTGTTCGGCACCCAAAGGAATTGGGGTGTATTTCCTTGATGCATTGCATAGCTTTGGGAATTGTTGTCCTAATTCCGTGTTTTACTTTTTGTGTGTACGTTTTTCTGGTTTGAGATATTTCAAAGAAGAAGTAAAACGAATACGTATATCATCGTAAAAAAACAAACATTTTTATACCCTCCACCATAGTATGGAGGGTATATTAAGATTGTTATTCCGTTTGTAACACCTCGAAATATACATTTTAGACCCCACAAAGTACATATGTTCTTAATCAGCATAAAATTCTATGTCGATTTAGCGATGTCCGTCCGACTGTCCGTCTATCCGGCTGTGGAAATCACTCTAGCTTCCGAACGAATTGAAGTAGATTGATAAAATTTTACTCAAATGTATATTATGCCTGCAGGACATTTGGTATTGAAAACGGGCCATGTAGGTCCACGTTTTGGTATAGCCTCCATATAACGGTACCTCCCGATATTCGGTATTTTGATGACTTTAGTTAAATTATTCACCGATTCTGTTCTAAGTTTTGCATTTGAATATTGTAATGGCTTATGACAAAAGTAATCTATGCAGGTCCACGTCGTCGTATTGACCATCTACAACAGCTACATTCGGTATTTCTAAGAATTTTTAACAGCATTTTTAACGGATTTTATTGTTTTTGAGAATTGCTAAATTCGTTCCAAATGGTGGAGGGTATTCAAAGTTCGACCCGGCCGAACTTACAGCTTTGTTACTTGTTTTTTAACTCTTGGTACACAAATATTTTCTTTCGGAGGGAAACATTTGTTTTTCTTTGAAGATAAATATTCCGTTGCATACTTTCGGGGTTTGAATAAAAATTATGAACATTTGTACATTTCATAACAAGTCGTTAAAAATAATTGGGTCTAGATTCCATGAATGCAATCTGGGCATGTGGGTCTAAGCAAACGTCATATCTATTGCCAATCAGTAACAGCTGTCATCGGCACATGTGCTAAATTATGTTCAATGAGTGGGTGTTGTAAACTATTTTCACTTGAAGTCACGACTTGAGAGATTTTATTTCACTTGAAAACTTTACGTTTGGCATTGAGTGTTCTTAACCCTCCTACTTATATGTGAACATGTGTGTTTTTATTCTGTAGGTGGTTATGACACACCCATTATGATAATAGTATTAAATCATGTTTTTCCTGAGAGTAAACAAAGCTATTAAACGATGTCCTTTCTGCCTTAGCCTATTCACTTTGTCCATTCCCGCAAAACTTTACGCCACTACAAAGTTGGGAATTTAATGAAGTTATTATCGTCCAATGCTTTTAGTTCCAATCGCTTTGTTTAAGTCTCTCTCTCTCTGCTCTCCACCACAAAGTTTACAGTTAATTACTCAGCAAATGGACGATTGCCACTGTTTGGTATACAGATGCCATGTTCCTACGTTGCACGTATAAAAACTTGATGACCAACCATATTGTTTTGTTTATTTCTTTTCACGCTCATCCTCTTCTTCTTATTTCTCTTTATCTGCTTTTTTGATTAGTTTATCTTATATTGGGTCATTATTACGAACATGTGGGCTTAATGGTGGCCCTTCATGGCAAAGGTCTGCTCGACGAGGGTGAGTATTTTGTCCTGGGAGTCGATATTGAGCAGTATGACCCCTCCAAGCCGGATAAATATTTACGCGGCCTTTTATTGGAGAAAACCGATGCCCGAGCGGAAATGGCCTTTCAGTCGTATTTGGGCATCCTACCAACAGCGCCCATTAAATTTGCCGAATTCGCCAAGGAGGTAAGTAAGTGTGAACGGATTTCCGCATCATTAACCAAAAGCAAAACCAAACATTTTAATTTCCAAATTTTAATGGCTTGTACAAGAAACCAAACACGTCATAATAATCAAGTGATGCTTGACCGGTAGATTTGTATCATCAATTCCTCATAACATTTATAGAGCAATCTGTTGAGATGAGGTTTTGTTGTTCTTGACAACGACCAGAATGATTAGCCATTGATAAAGTCATGCATGTGTTATGGTCTCAATGAAATTTCAGTTTTTACTTCACATTAAGCCGGAAAATTAACTCCTATGACCACAATCTGTGTGGGTGGGATGACCACAACACTAAAGTGTTGTTTTCACAGGCCACAACTCAATTCGGATGAAATTAAGGCTAGTAATCCCTGGAGGCTCAGCAAGAGATTGATGAATGGGGTTCTGCCATTGTAAACATTAAAATGTAAGCACTAACATCAACATTCCAAAGTGCTAAGCAAAAAAGACAAATGATGGATTTTTGGCAGTTTTCATTAAGCCTGTATTTAGATGTGGCTGACAGCTGAATTACAATGATGCTCAGTTGGCCAGTGAATTTTGTGGAAGCTCATAAATGTTATTTTGACACTTAATTAGATGTTGGTAGACTTTGACATTTTGTACATGACTTCGAATACATTTCTAATAATTTAGCCACAAAACATTTGCAATTTGTAAGGCTTTTCTTTAAGAGTTGGCCTAGTGGTGTTATTATTTCTTTAACTAATAAGTTATTAAATAAGTAGTTTACATTGTACTGGATTAAGTAAATTTAGTGAATTGAAATTGTCAATTCCATGTCAAATAACTCCTCATTAAGGAGATTAAAGGTGAAAGTACATAAAAGGCTTTTTTGGCTGGCTAAAATCATCGGCTGTGTTCTTCGTAGAGGAACAAAGGAGTTTTAGGTTGACTTAGTTCGATATCGGCCCTTGGCTTCTTTGTTCTTTTCTGAAGAAACCAGCCGATGACTTAAGCCAATCAAAAAGCTTTTTTTTTCTGGCAGAAGTCATCATCTGGCTTTCTGACAAAAAACAAAGGACTATAGGGTAACCAAATTCAAATTATGGGTCGAAATTGAACAAAGTCAACCTGCACTCCTGTTGTTTTTTTACGGAAAATCCAACCCAGGTAGAAGAATACAAGTAGATGCATCAATACAGCTGCTGGGACTGTCAAATCAATTTTGAAATTGAAAATTTTGAATGAAAAATTATTTAAATTTGTAAAAATCGCTGAAAATGCATATACAACTACCTCCGATTTGAATCGTATAGGAAAACATATAAATTTCTACTTATTTTGGAGAAAACACTTTAAAAATTTAGACATTTCAATGTTCTCAAGCGTTGATGAGCCCTGATACAACCGATGACCTATGGTACGTTTACATAAAAAATCTTTATCCGGGTTAACCCTGATGGGACATACGCTTAATTGTAATTAGTCAATTTTTGAGGTTAAAACTGGTAACAATTTGTTTCTAAACGCTCTATTATGACTGAAAAATCTTCATACAGGGGAGATGAAAAAACTGCAACCAACTTCAGACTGCTGTCAATTCTAAGCCACTGGTCCGACAGCTTTTAAAATTCTTTCAGTGACAGCTCATTATATATTTTACAAGCGTACCAAAGCATTTTGGTAAGAATTTCCAGAAAAAAGTTATTCCTGATGGAATTCAAGCATGATTGAGTCATTTTTTTATATTTGGCTGGAAAACCACAAGTGGCTATCGTCAGAGCACTCCAGCATTTGAATGTGAATAAATGTTGTGTCTCGTACCATCGCTCGTCACTGTGAGACACTGTAGCGTAGCCCGACGTCAAGGAAATGGACGGAAGAAAACAGCAACATCAGCAGAAATGGTTCGAAAAGTAAAGAAGCGATTTGATTGAAACCCGCGTCGCAGTGGCCGAAAATGGCTCGTGATCTGAACATATCGCAATATCCCATTCGGCAAATATTGAAAAATGTGCTCTGGGTAAAGCCATTGAAATTCCAAAAAGTGCAAAAACTTACACCGCAACAGAAAGAAAATTGACTCAAAAGAGCTAAAGAGTTGCTTCGCTTGGCCGAGAGTGGTTTTTTCTTGGTTTTCTCCGATGAGAAAACATTCGTTGTACAGCAGTTTGTAAACCAACAAAATGATCGTGTTTACTTGCCACAGGGGTGGCTGAAAATGTGCACTTTCGGTTGGCCACCAGAACTCAAGCGCCAGCCATGGTGATGGTCTGAGCCGCCATAATAGCCGATGGTCGCTCTTCGCTCGTATTAATAGACGTGGCATCAGAATAAATGCCGAATATTATCGCGAAAATTTTCTGAAGGGTGTATTAAAGCCTTGGGCCTTAGACATTCAAACTCAGCATCATCGCACTCAGCACACACTATCCAAGAATTGTTACAAAATGAGGTTTCTCGTTTCATTTCCAGCGCACAATGGCCACCAAAAAGCAAGGTTGGCACTAAAAAATACCAAAGTGTCAATCACCTCAAGCAAGCACTTCGCCGGGAATGGACTAAAATACCGCAGAGCAACATTCGGGCAGCGTGTGACGGCTTCATTCGCCGTTTGAAGGCCATAATCCATGCCAAAGATGGCCAATTCGAACAAATCTAAACTTCTTCTTAAATTTGATACTATTTCCGGCATTTTTTTCCTTTCATTCAATAAAATTAAAAAAAAAATAATAACTTAATTGCAGTTTTTATATCTCACCCTATGTTTGAAAAAAAAAAAAACATTTTTAAAATTTTGACATATCAATGTTCCCAAGCGTAGATGCATCTACTTCTATTTTTCTGCCAAGAGCCAATCGGTGACGTATAGTACGTTTACATACTCCTATATTTTTCTGAACTATATTTTTGTTGTTGTTTGTTTTTTTGATTTCGAATCCCATGTCCTTTTTTGTTATTTGAAGACTGCAGCTCTCTGCCATAAATTGATAACAAACCATCCACCCAGCTGATGATGTGGAGTAATTAATTTTCCATTATCACCATGTCTGTCAGAACGGATATCAATGTTTTCGAATGCCAACATCGTACTTTGTCCTTATGTTTTTTTTTTCATGTTTTGTTTTGCTCGCCAGATAGCTAGCCAATTTCAAAATCATTAATCATTATTTAAAAGTAATTTGTGTAAACATCCTTTTTGTTGTCTATTTCTTTTCCGTCTTCATTCAAGGTTAACAAATACATGGAACTGCCACCATTTAATTTTCCCAATCCATTGGGTCTATTTGGAGGTGCCAAACAGGTTAGTAGTGAAAGAAAGGCACGGAACAGCATCAGTTACAGCAGGCGGAGATGGGTCATAATGCGGTCATTATTATTGGCACCGCTTTTTTTTTGGAAGTTTGCTGGATGGTCGCATGACAGCGATTAAGGCCACACAAGCTATACATAAATAAAATATTTAAATAGAATTCTCCATAAAACTAATTTTAATAGCTATGCAAAAAGGAGAAAGGTTTTTTGTCACCCTCTGCCTTTGCTGATGCTGCGTGTGTCTATTTTTTATGGCATTCAATTCCATACAATTCTCGTTTGATTTTTTTATGGTTTTCCCATTTTTTCTCCAGATAAGTGCTGAAGCGGCATATCTTTACGATGCCGTACACTTGTATGCCAAGGCTCTGATTAAAGTCTTACGCCAGGGTGATAGGCCAAGAAATGGTACGGCCATAATCGAGGCTATCAAGGGCTCCAAATATCGCAGTGCAATGGGGTAGGTATTTACATATGGCTACGACTTTCAGCATTCGGTAATCCTTTAAGACTTCCATTGCAGCTATCACGTCTACATCGATGAAAATGGAGATGCTGCCGGCAATTATACAGTATTAGCTCGTGGCTTGGCACGCAATCATAAAAATAAAACAGTTCCTGGTCTGATACCGGTCGGTACCTTTAGTCAGACGCAAAGTGATAAATTGCCTGTGAGTAAATGTATTTTTATACGGAAATAAATTCTATGTTTATGTCGAAGATTGGCTGCAAAAAACCGCTGCTTAAAACTCTTTAGTGTTGGAATATTTACTTTCTATTTTTTCATGTATATTTCTTTTCCATTCTATGGTTGTTGGTTTTTTTCTCTTTCCATTTTATTGTGTAATATTGTAATTTATGCCTTTCTTAACTTTAAAATATTATAAAATGTAAATGTACAAAGAGCTATTGGCAGGTAAGCTCATTATTACTCTAAAATTTATGGTCATCCTTTTAGAGCTTTATTTTTATTGAATCGCTAACATTTTAACATTTGTTTTCTTCTTTTATCGTTTCTCTTTGGCAGGATCTCAATTTGTATGGCAAAATAGAATGGGTGGGCGCTGGTCGTCCGGCAGCAGAACCCAAATGCGGTTTTGCCAATGAAAAGTGTATAAGTACGATACTCATTCAAAATTTCTGTATAAGGAATTTTATTACTTGCTTGGTCCCATTTCAGGTTATACCGGTGAAATATCAGCTGGCATTGCTGGAGGAGCCTTACTTCTGCTGGGCATTGTCTCATTGGTTCTCTATCGCAATTGGCGTTATGAGCAAGAATTGGATAGTTTATTGTGGAAAATTGACTTTCGTGAAGTTCAAATGCATGAAAATGAAAAGGAATCCAATGCCCAGAAGCAGACGAGGGTAAGTTGAAATATTGGGCCAATCCTTGACTATAAAAAGACCTGAAATTAGGGCTTTTGTTGAGAATACATAGACAATTTTTATTTGGCTTATGTCACCGATCAGCTTTTTTTTTTGTAAAAGAACAAAAGAATTTTAGGTTCACTTAGTTCAATTTCGGTTCATAATTTTAACTAGGTCACCCTAATTCTATTGTCCTATTCAAGGCACAAATATAAAGGTGATAAAACATAAAACTTTTTTTTTGACTGGCTTAAGTCATCGGCTGGCTGAGCCATATTTGTAGTCGTTCAATCGCTAATCTTAGTGATCAGTGAACAGGAAGGAACTAGTTTCACTGATATCTAGTTCTTTTAATGAATCGTTCAATAGAACTAGTTCCTTCGGGAATTCTAATTAAAAAATGTATGTTATTATTTCTTTTTACGATTTTTTGTTGGAAATTTTGTTTAGAAATTTGGACACAGTGTATACAGGGTGAGATGAAAAAAAACTGCCACAAAGTCAAACGCCATAACTTTTACATTTTTTTACATTTTATTGAATGAAAGCATTGGCACGTATTATGGCCTTCAAACGGCCAATGAAACCTTCACACGCTGCCCGAATGGTGCTCTGCGGTATTTTGGCCCATTTCCGGCGAAACGCTGGCTTGAGTTGATGGTATTTTTTAGTGCCAACCTTTCTTTCCAAAATTCTCCAGACACAATAGTCCAACGGATTTGGTATCCGGAGATTTTGGTGGCCATTGTGCGCTGGAAATGAAGCGAGGAACTTCATTTTGTAACCATTCTTGGGTGGCGCGTGCTGAGTGCGATGGTGCTGAGTCCAGTTGGAATGTCCAAGATTTGCGGCCAAAATGTTAGCGTGCCCAAGGCTATAATACACCCTCCAAAATATTTTCGCGATAATATTGGGCATTTATTTTGATGCCACGTTCGTTTAATACGAGTGGAGAGCGACCATCGGCTGTTATGGCGGCCCACACCATCACCATGGCCGGCGCTTGAGTTCTGGTTGCCAACCGAAGGTGCACATTTTCAGCTAAACACGATCATTTTGTTTGTTTACAAACTGCTGGATAACGAATGTTTTCTCATCGGAAAAAAACAAATTCGGCAGTTCACCACTTTCGATCAAGCGACGCAACTCTTTAGCTCTTTTGAGTCTTTTATCTTTCTGTTGCGGTATAAGTTCTTGTACTTTTTTAAAATTTCAATGGCTTTTCCCCGAGCTCATTTTTCAATATTTGGCGAATGGAATATTGCGATTTGTTCGGTTCACGAGCCATTTTCGGCTACTGCGACGCGGGTTTCGATCAAGTCGCTTCTTTACTTTTCGAATCATTTCTGCTGATGTTGCTGTTTTCTTCCGTCCACTTCCTTGACTTTTTTAACAGATGTCGGATGAGTGGCTAAGAAATGACAGCAGTCTGAAGTTGGTTCAGTTTTTTCATCTCACCCTGTATATATTGTCAATATTTTTACTATATTATAAATTCAGATAAATATTAATTAAATACTTTTTTCAGTCAACCCATCCTCTAATTCGCACTAGTCAAGTCAGTTTAAGTTCAAATCCCGATGCCGATTTTCGTTATACAACCATTTTTACTCCCATCGGGCTGTACAAGGGCCAATTGTATGCCATTAAGAAAGTGCGCAAGAAATGTGTAGATATTTCGCGGGAAATGAAAAAGGAATTGAAATTGGTAAGAAACCCCCCGAAAAATTCTCTTTATTTAAAGAATAATAAATAGTTGTTCTTTAATTTCAAATCTTTCCAGCTGCGCGATGCCCGCCATGACAACATTTGTGCTTTTATTGGAGCCTGCACAGATCCTCCCAACATTTGTATCATAACCGAATACTGCACCAGGGGTAGCCTTAAGGTACATAAATCATCAGCTAAATGCCAGCCAGCAAAACGCATTTAATCCACTTCGGTGCTTTTCTTTTGTTTCGTTTCATGCTTTCACTTCGTCTAATTAAAGGACATTTTGGAGAACGAGGACGTCAAGCTGGACAACATGTTTATCGCGTCCATGGTAGCCGATATAATACGTGTAAGTCACCAAACCATCTTTCCTTTTGTCCTCTTGTCCAGCCATGTAAACTCCATCATCTGTTAATGTCTGTCTCGAGTTATGTTTTTTCAATTGTTGTTGATTGACTTTTTCCCATGGGGTTTTCGTTGTGGGTTTCTTTTGTTTTTCTGTTCTTTTTTCTTCTTCCCTCTCCACATCCCCCCAAACATCTATTGTCGTCGTTTAGGGTGTCATTTATTTACATGAATCGCCCATACGTTTCCATGGGTCTTTGTGCACTTCCAATTTGTTGATTGACTCACGCTGGGTGGTTAAATTGAGCGACTTTGGTTTGTTTGCTTTCAAGAAAGGCATCGAGGACAATTCGACAGATGTGGTGTCAATGGCTGCCAAATGCACAAGTAAGTAGGAAAATATTTGCTTAAAGTGAAAACAAAAAAAGAAAGAAAACAACAAAAAGACTCGCCGAAAAACAACTTTCGCAGTCGGTAGGATTCGAACCTACGCTCCCAGAGGGAATCTGATTTCTAGTCAGACGCCTTAACCGCTCGGCCACGACTGCATGTTATCAAGACGCTGCAAATAATCTTAAAATCAAATATCTATTCCACCCCACTTTCAATGAATTTCCTTTCACCCAAATAACTTCAATTTGAATTACGTCCATATTGATTGAATATTTCGTCTTTAACTAATAATCAAAATAAAGAGCATTTCCCTGACATTTATCAATAGAGATGACACAGATTCAAGTCGTACTATTTCTTCTTTGAAAAAGTACCCAATTAAGTGATTTGCCAACACTGACTAACTATTTATTGTCTCTCGCTCTCTCTCTCTCTCTCTCTCTCTTCACACACATATGCTGCTGACATTCGTGGCAATGTTTTGATTTGCCAACACTGTTTCTCTTTGCTTGCTCTCTTAAGCACAATGATTGTGGTGGTGATTTACTTGGTTCGTTGTTGTTGTTTTATTTGTACACACACACAGCATGGCAATGAGAAAATAACTCTTAATCACAACGGCTGGTGTAAGCAGTCGTGGCCGAGCGGTTAAGGCGTCTGACTAGAAATCAGATTCCCTCTGGGAGCGTAGGTTCGAATCCTACCGACTGCGAAAGTTGTTTTTCGGCGAGTCTTTTTGTTAAATAATTTTTTCAAATTTTAATTTTTCCTCTTGCCAAGAATTACTTTATCGGGCTCCGGAATTATTGCGGCAAGGTCCAGCTTCTTTGGTGATGGGTACACAAAAAGGTGATTCATATTCGTTTGCCATTGTGCTCTATGAATTGCACACACGCCATGGACCCTTTGGGGAAACGGGCCTAACACCAATGCAGTGTCTGCAGAAGGTACTGCAAGTACAGGACAACCTCTATCCCTATCGGCCCTCCCTGCAGCCCTTGGAAACATCTTTTGATTGTGTTCGAGAAATCCTCAACGAATGCTGGGCTGAGCGGCCTGAAGATCGTCCCGACTTTAAGACAATACGTGCCAAATTGAGACCCCTGCGCAAGGGCATGAAACCCAACATCTTCGACAATATGATGGCAATGATGGAGAAGTATGCCAATAACCTAGAGGCTTTGGTCGATGAGCGTACCGATCAATTACAGGAAGAAAAAAAGAAGACTGATGCTTTGCTTTTGGAAATGCTGCCGCGGCCAGTGGCGGAGCAATTGAAAAAGGGTCATAAGGTTGATCCGGAGAGCTATGAACAGGTTTCCATATATTTTAGTGATATTGTGGGCTTCACGTCGATGTCGGCGGAGAGTACACCGCTACAAGTTGTGGACTTTCTCAATGACCTTTACACCTGCTTTGATTCCATCATAGGCCACTATGATGTCTACAAAGTGGAGACCATAGGTGATGCTTATATGGTGGTAAGTAGAGAATACTTTCTAACATAAGAATATGGTATTTAATCTGTGCTTCATTGCAGGTTTCCGGTTTACCCATACGTAACGGCGATTTACATGCCGCTGAAATTGCCTCCATGTCCTTGCATCTGCTGGATGCAGTTTCAGAATTCAAGATACGTCATCGTCCCCACAATAAGTTACTGTTACGTATAGGTATCCATACGGGCCCCGTATGTGCTGGGGTGGTGGGCCTGAAAATGCCTCGCTACTGTCTGTTCGGTGATACCGTGAATACAGCATCCCGCATGGAATCTTCTGGCGTACCCCTGAAGATCCATTGTAGTTGGCAGTGTAAAGAGCTGTTGGAGCGCCTGGGTGGCTATCATTATCAGGAACGTGGCATGGTTAGCATGAAAGGCAAGGGAGATCAAAGAACCTATTGGCTGTTGGGTGAGGATGAAGAGGCTAAACAAAGACGTACCTATGAGCGGTCACAACGCAGAGGCTCGAGGGCATTGAATAAATATATACAGGGTACCATTAAACAACAACAGCAGCAGCAGCAACAACAACAAAATAATAGCCTATCCGTGGCCAATGATTTGGGTATTCGTTCATCGTTGAAAAAAATGCCGAGGAATTCATTGACACGTTCCTCGAGTTTGGAATCGCCAAAGAAACTAAGATTTGCCACAGGTTCCCTACTGGAGCATCATCGCTATCATAGGTGAGGGGAAACAATCAAATACCAAATTTGAAACAATTCCGGAGAATAATGTCGATAAAATCATCAAAAAACCGAATATCGGCAGGTACCGTTAAATGGGGGCTATACCAAAACGTGGACCTACATGGCCCATTTTCAATACCAAAAGTCCTGCAGGCATAATATACATTTGAGTACAACTTTATCAATCTAGTTTAATTCGTTCGGAAGCTTGAGTGGTTTACACAGACGGACGGACATCGCTAAATCGACATAGAATTTTATGCTGATCAAGAATATATATACTTTGTGGGGTTTAAAATGTATATTTCGAGGTGTTACAATGGTGGAGGGTATATCTAGACATATCTCTTCCCAGAAAAAAATTTGAAGAGGGTTAAATAATAATGGATTGCAATAGAAGGTTGCCTAGAATTTTTATTTCTAATTATTTTTTTTTTAATCTTTTGTGTCTCTGTTCTTCTTTCTTCAATTTCTCTTTTACATATATTTATCTTTATACCTTAAAATCTACTATTATTTCTCTTTCCAGTGACGAAGCTCTCATAGAAGTCGTTACAGACTCTTACACCGGTCTGCGTCGCTCGTCGGGAACCTCGTGTCATTCGCGCTACGAAGAGTCTACACTATCTTGCCAAAGCTGTGATGATTTGACCAATCTACAACGCCAAAGACGTCCATCATCCTATCCCAATGCCAATACGCCGCTCTTGCTGAACCACAAGGAAACTTGACAAACGAACTTCAAAAAAATATAAACAATAATTAAAATAGAACAAGAATTTAAAATCAAAATCCAAACTCCGATTCAATGTTACTACGGACGAAAACAATAATCTTTCTCTTGATATATACCTATTTGTTAACTCGACAAGTACTTACGTGTGTGTTTCGTTTTAGTTACTAAGAGTACCGTTTTAAATAATAGAGATATATAATGCTTAAGTCCAAACTTATAATTGTGTTCATTTACATATGAAATATGTAAAGTTTTATAAAATATTTATCAATAATTCGAATATTGTACTTAAAAATGTTTTTTATTTGTTTTTTTTTTTTTTTAGAAAAATCAATTTGTGTTAAATTAGTTGCTTATTGTTTTTTTTGTTTTTAATATTAGGAACATTTTTATTTTTGTGTGTCTAGTCTCTTTTTATAAAAAAATAATGTTTAAGCTTTTATGTATGGCATATTTTAGTTGTATTTATTTATTTTTAAGTGAGCATCTAGTAAATTGAATGTTAAAGATTAAGATAAATTTTATTAAAGCTTTTGTTTATTTTCAATATTTTATGCATTTTAAATGCTGTGTAAAATCCAGGTTCCAGTTCTCTCATTCGATGTCGAAATAAATTCTATCGAGATAAATTTCTGCATGCTCAAATGATGTTCAAAATTCGATCTCTAGTCTACCGAAATATTCAATTAACTGAAGCTAAAATTGACATAATAAAAATTTATTTTGATCGAAAATTGTCGATATTGAATGAGAGAACTTTTCCCCCCGATGGTTACTAGCAGCGGCTTATCACTCTGATACTGAGTGACAGATAATTTTGCAATAATTATTTAACTTTCCATTGTAAACTTATATACTTACAACTGTATTATATTAGAAGAAATTTTTAGCTCGAGGAGCTCCGTAAACCTATTAAATATTAAAAATAAATGTTGTTAAAATAAAGACGTCATTTGAACTAATATTATTTTGTGTTTATTTATATATATTATTTTGTGTTTATTTTCAAACATGATAGAATTAAGAAGGTCAACTCATTCCAAACAAACTGCCATTAAAATAATTGTAATCAATGGTAGAATAATACAGGTAGATGCATCAGCGCTTGGGAACATTGATATACCAATCGGAGGTTGTTATGATATACATTTTTCAACAATTTTACCGAATTTGAGTAATTTTTCATTCAAAACGTTCAATACCAAAATTGGTTTGACAATTGGCCATTGTCCTAGCAGTTGTAATTACCAGAACTGTCACTTCGTGAAGATCAAAATTCAAAGCATACTTTTAGGCGCATTATCATCGGAACCCGTTGCCTGGCGATGCAGCCCACATTATTATTGGAGTAGAGCTTTCAAATTTGGTATTTAACGACTATATCAGTCCACTTTTTGGTATAGCCCATGGTAGAAGAATACAGGTAGTCGAATCGACACAGCTGCTGGGAAAATGAACTGTCAAACCGATTTTGGAATTGAATATTTTTAATGAAAAATTATTCAAATTTGTAAAAATTGTTTAAAAATGCACATCTTAACAACCTCTGATATAAAATTATATTTATTTTTTCAAAATCATTAAAAAAATTGACACATCACAGTTCCCGTTGATGCATCTTCCTGTATTTTTCTATCATGGTATAACCTTTGTGGCCCTCTAAAAGTGCCGTATCTTCCACATTTTTCAATGGAATTGTCTGAAATTGTACACAAGGAGTTCCTTGTGAGTACTTTATCCCCTGGAAGAGAATTATCTATATAGGTCCATGATATGAACGGTATCTCCGGTTTTGATTTTAGCCAAATTTTCAATGGAATTGACTGAAATTGTACACAAGGAGTTCTTTATGAGCACTTTACCCCTGGCAAAGAATTGTCTGTATAGGTCCACAATATCGTATATCTCCCATATAACGGCACCTGTCGATATTCGGTATTTTGATGATTTTGAAAGAATTTTGAATGGATTTTATTTTTTGAAAATTTCCAATTCGCCCAAATGGTGGAGTGTATTCAAAGTTCGGTTCGGCCAAATTTACTGCTTTTTTACTTCTTTTTATATAAAAAAAAAAACACATTTTGTTTTCATTAAAGCAGTTTAGTTATTTATTTTTTATAATAATAATATATGTATAATCTTCTTTTTCTTTTCTGTAATAATTAATTGTTTAAGTAAAACTTAACAATTTGTTTTTAACCAACAATATTCATTTTTAAATATATTTTTATAAAAAATCATTAAAATAAATATGTTTTATTTTTGTTTCAACAATAATTTCATTTCATTTAATTGTTTTAGTAGTAGATGTTATGTTCTTTCATTTTATCATAAATAAATTTATGCAGTTTTATACAATTTTCTTTTAAATTTTCAATATAAACTACGAACTTTGTTTTTTGTTTGTTTTGTTGTTGTTGCTGTCATAGGTATTTGTCTGTGCATTTGTTAGTTTTTGTTTTTGTTGCTTTATGATTTTTGTTTAGCTTTGATTGCATTTGTATCTTCATTTTGTTGTTCCATTTAGATGTGTCTGGTTTTTTTAAGTTTGTTATTTTTTCTTTGGATTGTTACATTTGTTTTGTTTTTGTTAATTTAAAACAAGTTGTAGCAGATTGTTTGTTTTAATGACAGAATATAATCTTAAGAATAAATATCTCTTGGTTTTATTTTTTGCATAACTCACATATTTATTTCCAAAGGCTTAGTCTTGATCTTCTGTGCTTTTATTTTCCAAACGTTGCTCTTTTTATGATAAATAAGTGAAAAAAAATAAAAACAATTTTAATGTTTCCGATTTGGTGAGAATGGCTATTTAAATCCCGCGAAATTGTAGTTAAAGATGTAAAATATAATAAATAATATGTAATGACATCCACGTTTAAACTGGGTAATAGAAAAACGGATGTCATGTTACGTTTACATACGAACTCTTTTCTTGAGAGAATGGATCTGTCATGACCTGTTTGAAATAGGCTTTTACACATCAATGCATTAATGTGAACATGGTATTAGTTTTCGTTTACATAAAATATGTCTTTATAAACATATAGTCATTATAGAGTTCCTTATCACATTTTTTACAAATGTATGTAAATATAGCTTATCAAAAAGATCATGACTCCAGGGCCTCCAATTATCACAGCTGATCAGCTGTCAAAATATTTTCTTATGACTGAATGTTTATTATGAAGTGTAAAACAATAGTAATGAGAGAAAAACAACTTTTGGTGGAACGCCTTTCTTTGGAGTCATGCCAACACCAGCTGATTTCATCCGTATTGTTAAATACATACAATTGTGAATTAAATGTATGAAAACGTAACGAAAATGTTTACAATATGATGGTTTTAAATCATGTGCTACTTACACGGCCTGTTTAAAGGACCTTGGTCTCATTTGTTATTGATCATTAAAAGTAAGTTTACACTTACTAAATGAAGTGGAATTCAACTGACAATACCATTGCCAGTGGATTTCATGGATTTCATTTGACATATACGCAATGGAAATGACAGTTAAAATTCACCGGATTTGTTAACGAACTTTAATATATATCGTGAATAAAAGTCTTATATTCACAAAACACGGGCTACAGCCATATGGATGTTAGACGTTCAATTCATGTTTTTAAATTTAATATACTCTCACTAGGATGTTATGATAAATGCTATGGATAGGAAAAAAAACAATAAATTGCAATACAAATTTTAAGCTACAACATTTTTTGTCTTTCATTTACACCTTCTACTTTAACAAGTTTAACAATTTTAGCTGGTATAAAAAATTAAATTTCTGCATTTTATATTTTTCTTTTTTTAATCTTCTTTTTGGTATAAAAAATCTACATTTTTCAAATTCAACAAACAATTTTTCACTAAATATATATGTATTCATATAATTGATTCTGTATTTTTGTTATAAATATATATGTAAATATGTAAAGTTTACTAATTTCAAGCTATTTTACTGTAACAACTTTTTTTTTGTTTTAGTAAAAAATTTAATAATTGCAAGTCAAAGCTGCCGATGGCAATAGCCATGTGTCAGATGAGGTAGCCTACATGCGTTCATTGTGGAAATATATTTGATTTTAAAGAAGATGTTGAATTCTGGAGAGAAAGATGTATTAAATATTGGTAATAAAAAATGTGGTTTCCTCAAAAAATCTGCATCCAGGGCTGGAAATATTTCTTTATACAAATTTTCGTTTGGCATTTCTTTTCTTTACAAAAGTTTTCATTTCAAAATTTCATAGAACCATAGAATGAACTCTGTTCTATGAATATGACTCCATTGTTGCAAAAATAAACAATAAATTTAAGACTCGATCTTTTCCCCCCAAACCATGGCATAAGAAAAAATTAATTCCAAATAAGCTAGGAAAAATGCAACTCTGTATTAAAGGCTTATTGTGTCAACTGGCCGTTTGTTACATCTTTCCAATAAATAACAATATTATGTTGTCGGACAAAAAAGCCATTTTGCGTTATTACAAGTTTCATTTAAGTATGAACTGTATCTTTTAACATAAATTTTATTGAATCGGTGTTGCCATGTTTTATATTGATAATATGGCAATAACAGCAAAATATATTCAAATGAAAATGGATAACACAAATCGTTTACTTTATATTGCAGAATTGCATTAAAGATTTACTTCACGAGATTAGTTACAAATTCGCTTTATTTGTTACTGTTTTTAACTAAAATTATTAAAAAAATGTGACTACTAGTTACATTTACAAATGATTTCTAATTATATTTCCATATCTCTGAAAAATGCATATATATTTAAGCGAAGATTTAATAATGAGAACCCGAAAATGTGAACTTCATCCTTTACTTTTCCTAAAGTAAGGAATAAACAAAAGTGGACTATAATGGAAAAATACAAGAACTAACCTAAAACTTTTCAATGCCAAACATTGATTAATCAAAAGTCGAGCTATATATCCCTAAACCGTGCTTGCAAAGAGGAAGAACCCATGGTACAATAAGGAGGTAGAAAAGCTTCGTAAAACTACAGAAATTTATATACAAACAATTGTTTTCATTTTTTTTTTTTCATATTTTTCCTCATTTTTAAAATGGGCTAAGTAACGCGAAAAATGAATGGAATGCCTGGAATTTATCTCAAAAATATGATTCAAACTGTTCGATCTTCCAATGTTATGACTAAACTGGTTAAAACCTTTGATGCGCGAGGCGCAGTGTACGTGTCTTCCAATTATTGGCTTTGAAAATATTTTTTTTTTTCATTTTTCAAAATAATAGATACATACACAAAATTGGCAGAAGCCGGGCACAGAAGAAAAATAGAAACTGCTAGCTCTACCTTACCTTTTTATTGTACCATGGAAGAACCCCATAGCCATTATAACAACATTGTTACCTTAAATAACGTGAAGAACAATTCAACCGAATACCAACTGCATTACAAAATGTAGACTGTAATTTTTGCAACACGCAAAAGTTGACTAGAAGTTTTCATTAACAAAAGTCGATTGGTTGAAAGTCGACTTACGTATCCCTAAACCAATGCAAGAAAGAAACAGAAAATAGACAAAATGTAGGAAGACATTAACCATCGTTTAGATCAGACCCTAAGGTGGGTCATGGTAGAAGAATACAGGTATTCGTATCGACACAGCTGCTGGAACAATGAACTGTCAAACCAATTTTGGAATCGAAAATTTTGAATGAAAAGTTATTCAAATTCCCTAAAAAACTTTTGACATATCAATGTTCCCAAGCGTTGATGCATCTACCTGTATTCTTCTGCCATGAGGGCAACATGGCAAAAACATAAAGCATTAATTAGAATAAGAAAAGGTAGGTTGTCATCTGATCTACTTCGGAATGGGACACAATTAAGAAGGTTACTTAGTGTAATCATATGTTTATTTCTTTTTATACTCTTCACCATAGTATGAGGAGTATAT